ACAAGTACAAAGTTTAAACTTTGGCCATAAGAGATCATTAAATTCATTTCCGTTTTTCAAACTTAATCTAAAGGAATGTGTTAAATTTGACAGAAATTGTTATGTTAAAGGAAAAGGTCAATGTCCATTTATAATGTTAAAGATATTTGAATGTACAGAAATAGCTTAATAGCTTAAACCTTTACCACACAAGTGTTTAGGATGCTATAACGTTTAGAAATACTTCAACAAAAAGTGCCAGAAAAGGTTTTTCTCTGATATTATAGAATGTCGTGTATGAAATTAACTTAAAATGTGTTTTCCTGTACTGTACAGTTTAACAGATCAAGCTTTGTTAATAAAGCTTTTCTCAAAAAAAAAAAAAAAAAAAAATACAGCCATTCCGTAAAAAGAGACTGGCAGCAATATGGCGCACACACAGAGGCTCTCTTCTCACACAGCCGTCCAATCAGCGTTCCAGGTTGCTGACAGCTGGCCAATGACAGAGCTCGCATCAGGCTGAAAACTATTCAACATGGAGACAACAGTTGAAAAGCTTGAAGCGATGGTAAGCACAGTGTAAAACTATTTGATTTTCTGTAATATCCCTTCTCTCTAATGCTTCTTCTCCTCCTGAACGTTTCCAGAGACATTGAGCAACTCATTAATTATCGATAAGTTATTAATACGGGCTTCCTGTCACAGTGAGAGCAGCCAAGTCCTGGTTTCCTCTGTGTGTTAATAAACAATTCAAACTCCTTTTCGCCGTTCAGAAGGCCTTTCTACGTTCCGTTAGAACACCGAATATATTAATATATTATTATATTATATATTATATTACACCGCCGTTTGGAACCCTTCAACTTCAGCTACACAACTGTTAATATGGCGTCCAGTGTAAAGGCACTTACGATGTAACGTTGTGCTTTCTAAAGCGGCTTTCTGCTCTTTTCAAGATACACAGCTGTTGTTCCCTTTTCTAAAGTATTAACATAAAATAGCATCATAACAACACAGCCCTTGTTTTCCGTGTTGTTTTAGCTTAATGGTTGCCTTTTCCGAAAAACAAACAAACAAAAATTCTTTCCAACTATACTTTTTTCACAATTCTACACTGCTGTTCGTACTAGTTATTTACAGCTGCACTAGGTGTTTGTTATAAACAAACAAACATGATTTAGTCATATTTGTTGAAACTTTCACTATGGACAAAAACAAACAACCATAGCCAAGAAAGATAGTTGACAGTGAGTCCCTGAGTGTCACATACAGACCCTGGGAATGAGACTAAACAGTCAGCTATGTTCAAACCTCCAACCACTCGGCCCAGTGTGAATGCTGTAGGCATATCTACATACATACAGCCTATTAATGATCAGATTTACATTTGTTGTTGTGGTTGATGAATAACAAAGACTTTCACCTTCCATTTCTTCTTTCAATTGCTAATGGCAGTGAAGATGACTTTACTGTAAAACCAAACACTATTACTTGATTTGTCCTTGAAAACTCCTGTAAAATGTCCTGAAAAGTTCCTGAAAATGATTTCTTTAAAAGGGTCGGGGCCGTTATACTGAAGCAGATATTAATCTTCCCATATAGAATATATTTCATGACATTTCAAGTCTGTCCATTGCCCCTTTTATATTGTACTACTGGTAGCCCTGCTGGAAAAGCAGTGCAATGTTAAAAGGGCATTGGCCAGAAATAGTAGCAAGTTAAGGAAATGTTACCAAACTCTGAAGCTTCAGCTGTTGGCAGGCGCTCTGACTTCATTGCACTACTGTATCAGACAGCTAGCAGTGCAATAGTATTGTCAAAGCATCTGAAAACTGCAGAGAGCAGCTGCACTGACTACTTTTACATTGTAGACTGTATGAGGTCATGTGGATGTGATAGACGGACTGTGGTATGGTCTGATGGAGTGTTTCAGAGCACACTAGGTCCAGGTTCAACAGTGCAAATATAAGATTTGGTATTTGTTACGATTTGGCGCCCCCAGTTGCAATAACGCTGGAAAATATAGACAACTTATGATTACATTACTTACGATCAAAAATGATTACCACAGCCAAACATCAAGCAAGTGCAATAATAAGAGACATAGCAAGCAGCTAATATAAGTGACTACGCCATCAGCCTGAAGGCTAACTCACTCCTGTGTTATCAGTGTAAACACCAACACTCCCCCGGTGCTCTGAACACCCAGTGTTGTACTGCTAAGCTAAAAAGCTAACTACCTAACAGCAGCTACTTTACTGTCCATCAGGAAACTCTGTAAATCACGGTTGAGGTGGAGCAGCTGGAGGGCATCAGAGGAAAAGACAGAAACATTTTTTCTCCATAAAATCAGTGATGATATAGTTGGTGGTGTGTGACCACTGCTGTAAAGCGTTACACACTCGTCTCTACCCAGAGCAAAAAGTTCCATACTGCAAGAACAGGCGTACGGGAGCAGAGTGGGAATGACAACTCATTGTAGCATCAAAGTGATTTTTGGAGTGATATATATATGCATTAGCTTTTCTAAAAAAAATACCTAAAAATGTTTTTAGGCATTTTTTTTTAATAATGAAATTGCATGAGAAGGTGAACATTTTGTGTTTGGTTGTGATGTGATGTTAACATTGTTCCAGTGAGAAGTAGCACTGTTTGCACACGGTTAAATGTGAGACTTTGTGTGCAATGTGAGAAATGCACATGTCTGCATGGTGTGCATCTTCACAGCCAGAAACAAGACAGTGACTTTGGTGACCTATGAATCATTTTCTTGTGCAGAAAACTGCAGTGATTGGTTGGGGAGAAGTTGCTGTGATTGGACAGAGTTGTAAGGTTGCGTAGAATTCACAGGTATTGGTTAAAATTGAGTTAATTGATAGCAACATCGCAACTAACCGGATGGACTGCTGATGGCACAGAATTTCCTGAAAATAAGTATTTTTAATAAATAGTAATTAGTGAAGTAAGCCTGTCATAATAGCTAATCTTACTTAATGCACTGAACTGTGGGTCAGATTTGTCATACTGATTCTTAATAATAATTTTACCAGTTTTAGATTGCTTGTGTTTAGACATCATTTGACTTTTGAGAACTTTGGCATTTACCATTAAACCTTCGTTCATTTAAAAAAGGAATTGGTATCAGCACTGAAACTCAGGTTTACATATCAGCAGCAGAAACATTTCAGGAACAAAGCCGGACCTACATATGAGCAGGGTAAATTTGACAGTGTACTATTAAAGCGTAAAGCTGTGCGTCTTTGCAGTTCCTGAAGTCAGAGGCAGACCTGGAGTACATTGAGAAGCGGCTGAAGCTGGATTTCATTAACAGCACTGCAGAGAATGGATGTCCTGCTGAGGTGAGACAGATATTTCTCCTAACATTGTCACACAACTAAAGACATGACCAGTTCAACAACATCTGCAGTCTGTAGGACAGTAAGTAGCCAGTGCAGTTTACATGCAAGATCAGTTATTGGATGGTTGGGCTACAGCTAACAGTTCTCTTCAGTATTGATTAATCTGTTGATAATTTTCTCAATGAACTGATTTGTTGTTTGTTCATTAATCACTATTTTTTCCATACAAACTTCCTTTGTTATTATGAGTCTTTGCAATTAGAGATTCCAAAGATTCAATGTGCATCATTAATTCTAACCATTCAGCAAAATCCGGCTTTGTCTGACTCTTCCAGTGACAGAGAACAATCCTTGAAGGGGCCAATAAAGCCTGCCCAAATTCTTGTTTTCCTTATAAACATAGCTGGGTGGAAGAAAATATCAGTCCACTTTAGTATTGCAATATTGTATTGATTCTCAAAAACTCTGAAGTGATAGTTGTTTATATGAGTGCTGTAATCATAACTGAACTGCGGGCTGTGATGTTGGATGTAACAGTGTAACTGTGATAAATATAAATGCAGATCCTACTGTCCTAAATGTTTTAATTGCAATATATTGCCTTGCTTACAGTATCACAATATATGGAATCATTACCTTAATATTGTGATGTGTGCACATTAAATGAAGTTCATGCTTAATTTTTACACCCCCAACAGTAATTCAGTCATCGTCAGTCATCCATGAGTCTCGTTTTGAAGTTGAATTGGTTTTATAATAATACTTGTTTATTATTTCGTAATGTAGATTAAAATGTTAATAATTTTGATTATTACTAATATTGGAAATCCATTATTTTCTACCTTATCATTAATGAAGACCTTCAGAGAGGTTTTTCACCAGTCCTGTTGCTAAACATTCGAGTTAACAATACACAGTGTGAAATGTGCGAGGAAGCATCTGAGGCTTGAAGCTGAGCCAGTTGAACAGTCAGTCTGTATCTGCAGGAGAACCCAGCGGTGATGCTGGAGAATCTGAGGGCCATCAAGGCCAAACACACAGCACTGTGCTCTCAGGTAAAGGAGATCGCAGCTGCACAGAAAGAATCCATGGACTCCATCAGGAACAACCTCAGCAGCGTCATGGACGTGATCCAACACTTCCAACAAACGACTGATGTGGAGGTAAGGAAGCAAAGTTTGTTTCTATAAATCACAAAGTGCTTCACAGTCAAAGAAATAAAAGCAAATAGAATCAAAGTTAAAGCATTTGATCAAATATACAAGGGGAACAGACGTAAGACACAAGTTAAAACATGAAATACTACATGCTAGTTTCTTGAACGGTGAACAGCTTAATGGTCACGCCTTACCTGAAACCATGCTCTGTTGTTGTTTGTGGTTCAATCCCCGGCTCCTCGTGTTGCATGTCGAAGTATCCTTGA